CTGAAAAAGTGCCAAATCGACCCCTTCACCTGGGAGACGATTACTCCACACCGTAACGCTTGGAGGAGCACCACACGAGAAGGTGTCAATACTTTCGAGTTAGCCCGATTGCATACTGAGGCAGACGAGTGCAAGCGCCGGAAAGATGCTGCACTAGATGTACCCCCCCACATGTGCAACATCTGTAAACGATCCTGCCGGTCCCGGATTGGCCTCTTTAGTCACCTCAGAACTCACCAACATAGGTGACATCCCTAATAACTCATACCATTGTATCATACTCGATTCCAAGTGACAGCAAAGTAGTTATATGTATAAAGAAATTTTTAATTCTAGCTCTATTATTGAATTATACGTTTTCATTCTATTAAATTATACATTGTACAAATAAGTATGAATAATATTATCACGTCTACTGTAATAATTTTTATATTACAGAAATCAGCAGAACTTTATAGGTTTAGATATAGAATACAACTTCTTCACGGAAGACAATAAATAATTATGAAATTCGACATACTCTGAACGCTAATTTGTATCTTTTTTCATATAAATTAACAGCGACTATTTAACGTTGTAAAATTTTATTACCGCAGATGCGAATGCTAATTAAATCCGACTGCGTCGTAGTGCGAATGCTATTTTGTTTACACTTGGAAAAGTTTCTCTCGAGCTGTGCACGACTAGTCAGCGAACGCATATATTTAGTCATTTTGCTTTATAGTGCGCTCGTCAGTGACTTTATTAATATAAATCAGAAAATAAAACTTATATAACAATATTGTTATGGTAAATTTAATATGATAATGCATAAAACGTTTGCCATAAGCGAAAATTGTGGAGGCCAAAAATGGTGGACGTTTGCCATGACGTATTGTGTGAAGTGTTGTCAGTAGTCCACCTCTTCCTATTTTCGTTCACCAGCATCAAGCATACAACGTAACGTGGCTCCTCCACCACTACCCTCACTTGTAAGTACTGTACATAGTTATATATTTTGTTATTGTAAATAATGCCGCCGCAATTGACAGGTCAACTTAGATATTTTTGTGTGTTTTTACCCCACGATTTCCCTATACTTCAAAACCTGCTCACTTAATGAGATCAAAATTTTACTTTCAATCGTGAAATCGAAAGTTAAAAATAGCTATAAAAATATAAATGTGCTATGAAAACGCCGAATTGTTACCTAAAGTGTGAAAACTAAATCTGTGTTCTTACGGTAGGTAGTTATTTTAGGTCAACATTAGAGTCTTTTTATTACGGATCCCTTATATTCTTAATATTCGAATCGCTGATATGAGTTATATCCGGATCTTCGGACTAAACGAATCCACCACATACCCGAGGAGGCGAGCAGTACGCCATGAGTGGTTTGGGGCAGCACCACTCGTTACTGTCTACACTAATACACAAAGTTTTAGCCTCTATTAAAGCCAACTTACTCTTTGTGTCATGTAGCCTAGTCGAACTCTATAAACACAGCTCAATTTTGTTACCTTTGGGTTTCTTCTTCTATACCTGTTATGGAAAGTGGTTCTCTGTGGTTGAGTTAGGTTATATTAAAGGATCACCTAAAAATTCTCTCCGCCTAATTTCACTTGAACTTTAATCAACCTAACGCTAACCTAATCTAACTTAAACTGAGCTAACCTAAACTAAACCTAACCTTAACCTAACCTAATTTAAACTAACCTAACCAACCTAACCTAACCATACCCGCCTACCTTAGCCATACCCGCCTACCCTAGCCATACCCGCCTACCCTAGCCATACCCGCCTACCCTAACCTACCATAACCAAACTCATTTTTGTTCTTTTCTTTTTTTTTCTACCAGTCATCGTCGCAAAAATTCACGTCTGCTTTGGACTTGGTTAATAAGCCATTAAATTCTCTTTTGAGGTGGAGAAGATTATGCTTAACTCCTCTTCACTCAGTCACTTATTAGTCATTATTTCCAACCACTGTGGCAGCTTGCACGCATCTGTTGTCGCACACACACAAAAGAATATCGAATGTACAGACAAAAAACTGTCTTCAACTTAGACAGGAAATGAAAGGAAAATGAAAAAAAAAAGTGTATAATTACCGTGAAAGAAGAACCCCCAAAAAGGTGGATAATGAGAGTTAATTACAACAGGGCGTCAGGTGTTATGGAAGGAGGGGGGGACAGGTGAGGTTGTGTAGGAGGGAGGGGGAAATAGTGAAGGTGTGTGTTAAGTGTACCGGCAGGTGTGTTAGGTGTACCATCTGGTGTGTTGGGGTCCCAGAGACACACCTGAGGGGCGAAAGTGTTAAAGGGTTAGTAATAAAGTGATTTTTCTCAACTTGGGTTTATTATTTACAACTTTTGGCCTGGAAAGGTTGATGGGGGGGTGGAATGGGGTGGGAGGAGCTAAAGGCGTGAGGGAAGGGGAGGGGGGAGAAAATGTAGAGGGAGGGAGGAAGGGGGCGAGAGAAGGGGAGGGGGGAGAGAGGGGAGAGAGGGAGGAGAGAAAAGGAGAGGATAAGGGAAAAAGGCAGAGAGCTTTTGTGTGTGTGTGTCTGTCTGTCTGTCTTTGTTGACAATTAGAACACATAATTTTTTTTACATTAACTTGAAGGGAAATATAGATAATTTAATCGTAATAAATACTTTAAGAAATACATAAAAAAAACCAATAAGCTACAGACACTATCGTTATTATCGTGGGAATCGTATCATTATGTACAAAATTAACCACGAACAACTTCCTTTCTCCTGACGAAATTTTATACCATTCACCACCACCTTCATCCTCACGGCCTCAACAGGTGTTAAGATCGTATATTACAGGTGTTAGTGGGACTGAAACACCTGTTGTTGTTTATATCTCGCCTGAGGGGTTTTCTTACGGTTGTATTTTATTTATTTTCTGTTTTCTTCATTTTATAATCGGTCTTATTCTTGTATTTATGTTTATATATTGATCGTTGTTGTAATGTGAAGATGATGTACTACCTTTATCATTGGAGAAGTTCCTATGTGTTCGGAAAAGTACCTACATGTTTGGAGAAGTACGGTACCTGTATAGTAACTGAGGAAGTAATTACGGTACGTGTCTGGGGAAGTATTTGTATCTGAGGAAGTACCTATGTGTTTGGGAAAGTACTTCTGTGTGTCTGTCTGTCTGGGGAAGTATCTGTACCTGAGGAAGTACCTATGTATCTGGGAAAGTACCTCTGTTTGTCTGGGGAAGCACCTGCGTCTATTTGGGGAAGTTTTTATGCATAAGAAAGTACTGCATAGTACCTACGGGTGGGAAGTTCTTATATCTAGGAAAGTATTGTTATTTTAATGTTTGTTTTGACTCTGTGTTTACATTGTTTTACCATTTGTTTTGACTACGTGTGTCGTAAGCCTTGTTTTGCCGTTTGTTTTGACTGCTTGTGTCGTAATCCTTGTTTTACCATTTGTTTTGACTGCGTGTGTCGTAATCCTTGTTTTTAAATATATCTTTTCAACTTATACGAACGAATAATCCGAAATAGAGATGTCAATCGTTACTAATCTGTACACAATGAAGTCAAACACCCACATCCTCACCGCCGCCTGTTAAATTCGCTTCTTTGATCGTCTGGGCTGAGTCCGTTTTCTTTGACATTAGAAACATGGTAAATATCTCATGTAATTTGAGGTGAGAGACAGTGCCCTTCCTTCATCCTTCTCCAACCCCAACCTCTCCTCATCCACCAGACCCTCCCCCCTCATCATCATCCACCTCGTGTGTAACTTACCCCAAAATAACAACAACCCAAAAATGACTCACACCACAATACGGCCGATTTCACGACAACACCACAATCAGGTTAAAGAATAAAACAAACTACCAGCTAGACACACAAACATACCCACAAACTGGTCCTGTAATGAGTTTGTGTATATCGAGGGTTAGTGGTGAGTCATTGTTCTGAGATAGGTTATGGTGGCGCGTCTCATTTTGACTCACGCATAGTAACTGGTGCCACTTACACTACAACTGACGATTTTCACCCTCATCTGTTTCCTCGTAACTGATGACGTAAACATAAAGGCCATCTGGTTAACTTAGACGCAAACACACACATACTGTCTACAGGTAATATAAATTACACCAATAGTCAACCTACAGATACGCTCTCTTAGCACCCTGTATATAAATAAGGTAATTTCAACAGCACCTCTCTGTAATAATGGGGTGTAATTATTGACATAATTATCCATTACTTAAAAAACGTACACTAATAAAAATGGAAGAAGGTAATTAGTGATATAACCATTGAAGATTTAAACTCAAAAGAAGGGCGGTAGGCCTAGCATATGGCACGCCGGGGGTCTCCCTGTCTCTTGGCGTCACTATCGTCACTATTGTGCTGGATAGTTGAAGGTATCGTACGTCATGTTACTGTTGTTGTACTCAGGGTCAGGTATCGTACGTCATGTTACTGTTGTTGTACTCAGGGTCAGGTATCGTACGTCATGTTACTGTTGTTGTACTCAGGGTTAGGTATCGTACTCTGTTAATTCGTCGTACAGTACTTGAGGAGTTTAGTTGTCATGGTCAGAGAGTTAGGTCCTCGCGGAACCTTGATAGTTACTAAAGTGTCAACAGACATGGACGAGAGAGTGAACAATGACTGTCCATCGCTCGAAGGTGTTGTAAACCCATTGTTTACTGCGTTTGAGTCATGTGTGGGCAGCGGCAGGAGGAGGTGGAGTTGGTGTGGTAAGTAATAACCTAAGGCAGCATGTAATTAGCTAATATAGGGAGAGAGAGACACACACACACACACCCAACCATCACTTCCTGCGATAACACCTTCCTTTCTCTCCGCCTCCACTCACCCGACCCTCTCGAGGGATGCCGCCCCCTATCCTCAACCGTAATAACCATAAATAACTCAGTATCTAATTGGTATAGATTCGTCGCTTGATTTTTAGAATTATCTGGAGGTAACATGTATAAGGGTGTTGTGCAGCAAGTGGTGGGCGTGACGGAAGCTGGCGATGTGGACGGGAATGGACCTCAGTTGTCTCCTGTTATGGTTCTCTCAGGATTCTCCCCTTCACCTGGTATATATATACTGGGCCGCGGCTAATGGTCGCATCACTTCCAGGCCTTCCTCACCTGCAACAGTATCAACACTCTCCTTACCTGCTGCCAACATGAGGTTCATCGGTGTCGTGGTTGTGAGTTGATAGCTGTTGTTGATCCAAAGTTTCAGTATTGTCTCACGCTCGTGCAATTCTGCGTCAGGTTCTGTTGGATGATGCGTTCTCAGCAAAGTTGTTTTTTTAGTTTGTTTACTGCTTGAGAATTTCCAGTGATGTGAATCTATATTATACCAAATCCTTGATAGATCTTGGAATACACTTTTAGAATATTTAATGATAAACTCTGACTTGATGTTTATGCTTGAGCGATCATTACAGTTATCAAGTGCTGCATGACTCTGATAGAATGACTTACTTATATTATTGATCAACACGTGGCCAGACAGTCACCGCCGCGAAACGGATCAGTATCTGCCTCACATCCCTGGTGTTGATGTTACAGGTGGCCGCCTCCCTGGTGCTACTGACGGACCCGGCCACCGCTGACCCCTCCTCCCCTTACCGCCCCTCCCCTTACCGCGCCCCTGTCATCCCTATCCTAAAAGATGACCGCACCCAGGATCGTTTCGGCGGCTACAGCTTCTCCTACAACACAGGCAACGGCATCTACAGGAACGAAGAGGGCAAGCAATCCTACGGCCAGAACTCTGAGGGTGGCTGGAGGTGAGGATGATGACTGGGGGACCTACAGGATAGTATTGGTCAGGAGGTGAGGGTGGTGACTGGGGGACCTACAGGATAGTGTTGGTCAGGAGGTGAGGGTGGTGACTGGGGGGACCTACAGGATAGTGTTGGTCAGGAGGAGAGGGTGGTGACTGGGGGACCTACAGGATAGTGTTGGTCAGGAGGTGAGGGTGGTGACTGGGGGACCTACAGGATGGTGTTGGTCAGGAGGAGGGAAGGGTGGTGACTGGGGGACCTACAGGATAAAAGTTGGTCAGGAGGTGAGGGTGGTGACTGGGGACCTACAGGATAGTGTTGGTCAGGAGGAGAGGGTGGTGACTGGGGACCTACAGGATATTGTTGGTCAGGAGGAGAGGTGGTGACTGGGGGACCTACAGGATAGTGTTGGTCAGGAGGAGAGGGTGGTGACTGGGGGACCTACAGGATAGTATTGGTCAGGAGGAGAGGGTGGTGACTGGGGGAACCTACAGGATAGTATTGGTCAGGAGGTGAGGTGGTGACTGGGGGACCTACAGGATAGTGTTGGTCAGGAGGAGGTGAGGGTTTGTGACTGGGGGACCTACAGGATAGTGTTGGTCAGGAGGTGAGGTAGTGACTGGGGGGACCCACAGGATAGTATTGGTCAGGAGGTGAGGGTGATGACTGGGGGACCTACAGGATAGTGTTGGTCAGGAGGTGAGGGTGGTGACTGGGGGACCTACAGGATAGTGTTGGTCAGGAGGAGAGGGTGGTGACTGGGGGGACCTACAGGATAGTATTGGTCAGGAAAATTAGCTGTACCCGACCTCTTGAGCTGTTTTTTATTTAACTTGTGTCAGTAACCACAGTATAAGGGGGCATCCAGCAGTTCATAGTTGTAATGTAAACAGTATTATTATATCTCTTCCCGAGGTGTGTAGAGGACCACTTGGCCCTCCACCCGTGTATGACCTTCGTTCTTATATCCACAGCTACACTTCCCCTGAGGGCGTCCCCGTCAGGATTACCTTCGTGGCCAACCAGGGAGGTTACCAGCCCGTAGGTGATGTCATCCCCGTGCCCCCTCCCCTCCCATACTCCAGGACCCAGCGATACTAACACCCTCCACCTCCTCGTCATCATGCGTCACCTGCCTGGTTCGATGGCTTTGTTAGCTTCTCGTGTTGTTGTTGTTATCGGCCGATAATTTGATGTATTTATGATGGTAGTTCACTCGCCACACCCTCACAGCCACACACAAGGAGACGGCCGGTTGGTGGTCATCTGCTTACGACGACGGTGTGTGGTGCAGGGTGTGGCGCGTGTGACACTCTAGTCCACCTAATCCCGTCAAGTCTAGTCCAGCAGTAGTTGTTGTTCTCTTTTGTTGCACAAGTGTTGCTTTGTTTTGTTTCCTTGTGTTGCTTCGGGTGTTGCCCCCTGGTGCCGCCCAACGTTGAGACAGGGTTAACGTGGGCGGCGGAGGGGGGGTACGCGGCCAGAGCAACACTACCCTTCCCCGCTCCCCACGTCTTGACGCGCAGGGCTCGTCGCTGTTAAGTTTGTTTTCTATTGTACCACTAATAAACGTTTGACATATAGTTACATATTTTTCCCTGGTGACCCTTACACGTGTTATTATGTATGTGTCAACAGTGAACGACTACAAGAGGTAAATAACTCCTAAGGAAATTAGTTTATACTGTACGTGTTATGGGTCATCTTATTATAAACTATATTAAGAATAGACAAGAAATTTCATTGCTGTTAGTGAGCTTCAACGAAGGAATACACACACACACACACACAGGTATACAGGCAGCATCGTATATTATTAGAACTTCTCCTAATGTTCAAAACGAATAACAGACTTCCAAAGTCACATTTTCTGCTCACAAATACAGATACGTCACCTGACTCCTCACAACAAATTTCGTGTCAGTTTTGAAGACCTTGATCAAACTAATTAAAGGTGAGACGCCACAAAACACCTGAGCTAGCTGAGTTATTGCATCGTATGAATCTTAACGTAAGGAGAAAAAATACCTGTTAGTGTTATTTATTTTTTATTTTTTATTTCATGTTATTTTGTATAATCGTGCTGATAAAAACGACATTGTATAGTTTATAAAAAAGTCTGACTAAAGACTATAGCAGTACCCCCCATCATTAGCACCATCACGGAAATGTTTATAGTTTGTGTTTAGTCTACCCTGAGGTACAGTACAGTACCCAGCAGACTTGAATCACAGCACCGAGATTGACATACGTTGAATGGTTTGGTCCTCTGCAGCAGGGTCTTGGCTTGAGGCGAATGGAATGAAGAAAACCCTACGACAGGAAGGTCGTGCATGCCATACCAATGTCTCCTCCTCCTCTACCTCCTAATGACTCCCCGAACCCTGATCACTCACACACACACACATACACACGTCAGCTAGAGAAGGTATAGAAAAGGGCCTTCAGAATCATGCTCGGCGCAGAATACTCCGGCTACACCAACGGTCTCTCCACCCTGGAAATGCCATCCCTCAGTGACCTCCACCACCAAGCACTGAGAAGGTTTGGCCGTGGACTACTGCACCACCCTCGTCATCGCCACCTCCTGCCACCATCAGCCCCCCACCCAACTCGCGCAGTCCGCCACGACAACAAAATTCAGCCCATAAGAGCCCGCACCGATAGATATAAGAACAGCACCATCCCATCTATTGTTAAAATAATAAACAACTCCTGATTTAAGTACTGTACAGCCCTGTAAACTTATTCAATGCATATTATATCATTATGCCTAGATCAAATGTAAGTCTGTATATTTTCAGCCACCGGCTGCAACTCTATTAATAAACCGTTTATTATTATTATTATTATTATTATTATTATTATTATTATTATTATTATTATTATTATTACACACACACAGGACTCGACGACAGGGGAATCACCCCATCAAGGACTCCTCCTCATTAACTTCTCTGGTGCTCCTGCGTTGGTCGTAAGCTTGGGCGGCCGGCATGAAGAACCAGAGGCTAACGCTGATGAAGCCTGCCCCGGACAACACCCACATACTGACGGCGTAGCTGCCACTGGCGTCACGGATCACACCTGTAACACAACACATCTGGAGTTACTGGTGGCCATGGGTGTGTGGTAATGTATCCTTACCGAGGGGGTCCAATGAATATCAAAAGGAACACTGCGACTCCTGTTGTCTCGGTATGGTTGTCAAAATCCTTCGTCCATTATGTCACATTGTCGAGTGAAGCCTTGAATCATTGTAGGAGATATAGATCATGTCGAAAAAGGAACCTAAGAATATGTAAATAAGGAGAGAGAGAGAGACAGACATTGGGATTAAACACCGATGGAGAGATTCTTGGGTAGGCTGGGTTGACTGACTGACCTATGAGCTGGCCTAGGGAGAGGAAGCCGATGCCTATGATGAGACAGGAGGCACCGAACACAGGCGGCAGATTCTCGAGGCCCATAATCTTGACCATGATCAGGTTGAAGAGGCCCATGGTAGTACCCACGCCGCTGCCCCACGCTGCCATCACCACCATCAACCACTGCAGCTCCTTCACTAACGGGAACACTGGAGGAGAGGGCGTTGGAGGGGGGAAGGAAACAAGGGTTAAAATTGTTCTTGACCTCCCAGATGCTGTCAGTAAGATGAAGACATGGAAGGAGTTACATATATATATATATATATATATATATATATATATATATATATATATATATATATATATATATATATATATATATATATATATATATGTTTTTTTTTCTATCCTAGGTTAGTTTAGGTTAGGTTGGGTTGGGTTGAAGTGACTATTTTGGTAAAAAATATAAATATTCCATAAACTTGCTATTAACCCTTTGATGACGATGATTTAACCCTTTGGCGATAATTTGACCCTTTAACGACTATTATTTAACCCTTTGAAGACTTATTTAACCCTTTGACCACAAAGATTTAACCCATTGACGACTATCATTTAACCCTTTAGGATCATGATTTAACCCTTTGACCACGATTATTTAACCCTTTGGTCCACAATGATTTAACCCTTTAATGATTTAATCCCTTCATGATAATTTAATAATTTGGGTTAGGTTAGGTTATATGACTTCTTTTTTGTGACTTTTTTTTCATGTGACTCTTTTTTCCTAGATTCGCAGTCACGTACGAATCTAGGAAAAAGGTCACAGGGCACTCAAACACTCACAATATATCAGTGTATGTAATGTTGTGTTGCCGTCTCACTTTTAAGACTTGGGATATTCACATTATTTACCTCAAGAGTTTGGTGTTAGTGACGTGACAGGAACAGTAATACAACTCAGGGTTCCTTGTTACTGAATCCTCTATAACTGTTAGAGTTATAGTGATCATTTTTACAATAAGTTGGAACGGAATAATACATGATCTTGGAAACACTGAATTGATTAACGACAGCAAATGGCTCTATTAAGAGAGTGTCAAATGTTTCCTCGTCTTACCCAGAATAGATGTGGCGGTGGTGGCAAGACCCGACATGTAGGCAAGTCTCATGTTGAACTTGGGCCAGTCAGAGAGTGAGGACATGAGCATCCTAAACACCAGGCTACACACCGCCGACACTGAAATACACCAGGCGGAGTCCGCTAGTGTGTGATCAGCTGCCTGCATGGCGAAAGGCACCATCATTATAAAGTTGTAGTAGCCGTTGATGAAGAAGGTGTTGCTGACGGCGATGATGATGGCACGTGGGGAGCGGAAGATACCTAAATCCTTAATGGTAGACCTCGACACACGCACCAGTAGGACCCCTAGTTTTCGTACCCCTCCCTTAACCTCCACCCTCGTCATCTCAGCGTCACTCTCAGGGGCGGCAGCGAGGCCAGAGAGATCCAGCAGGGGGATGGAATGTGTTATATTGTCCGTGGGGGGCGTAACACCTCCTCCTCTTCCATCACGCGTACCGTTCTTTCTCACTGCTACACCCCGAGGTATCAGACTCTCCCCCCACTCAGGTCCTTCATTATCATCACTAAAGAGAGATTCAGCAGACTGTGTTTTCTCAATGTCTCCAATTCTATCCATTTCATCACTCATCGGAGCACCTTCCTCCTCCCCCTCCGCCACCTCTCTTGTACCCTGGCGGCGAGGTGGTTTCATATGCCACTCGACCGGATGGAAGAAACAGGCCCCAATGAGGCTATTGAGCATGATGGCCCCGACGATGAGAGTGGCGCCCTTGAAGCCGTACTCATCCTGCAGTAGGCGGACTAAAGGAGGACCCACGATCTGCCCCGTACACACCCCGGCATTCATTATAGCGTTGGCCATACCTCGCCGCCGGTCGAAGTACATTGGCAATATGATGAAGGACATACACACCACCACGCCCCCGCCCATACCTGCCGAGGTAAAGACGTGTGTAAGAAAAAAAAAACATACACTAATTAACACCAACTCCGACAGACGTTGATGCAGAGGAAGAAAATAATAACAATGATGAAAACCCAGTCATTTATAATCCTTAACGTTGAAGAGTTTTTAGAAGTCTTCCCATTACGTCTGAAATCCCACAAAAAAAAATTATCCTTGGCTTTTGTCGAATCACTCTTTACACAGTTAGTTATCAGTACTATATAAGAATACTTTAATTTACTGAAGAGTGTACAGTACATGACCCTCGAGGCGGCGTCATGAGTGTTAAGGGAAGCTGTTGCGTATCTGTAACAAAAATCATCTCCAAGTTGACCAGTGACGTGACAGACTTCAGAAAGGACTAGGAACACAATGTCTTCAGTTGTTAGGATAATATTAATACCAAAATAAATCCCCTAGCAATGCATATTAAACTTTAAGATACTACTCAAAATGCTTGAACTAAAGACACACACACACACACACACACACACACACACACACACACACACACACACACACACACACACACACACACACACACACACACAGTTCCCTGGTAATTTTTTTAACAAGTTGAATAGTGAAGATCTCGTGTGTGTGTGTGTGTGTGTGTGTGTGTGTGTGTGTGTGTGTGTGTGCGTGCGTGCGTGTGTGTGCGTGTGTGTGTGTGTGTGTGTGTGTGTGTGAGGCTATACACACGCTTGTCATGTTTTCCTTACCATCAACGTCTTACCGGGGTCCTGCTGTTATTGCTGATCAAAGAGCAGCAGGAGATGAAGAAACAAGAACTCTTACCACTCAACACAGAGAAGGAAAAGAACAAGAACTCGGGTGACGGGGTGAACGCCGAGATGACAACAGAGGCGGAAGTGACGAGACTGCCTACAATGGCCACGTTTCTCCAGCCAAACTCCTTCGCCAGCGGCCTGATGATGAGCCCCATCATGTTCCAGATGAAGCAATGGGTGTTGAAGATCCAGGCGGTGGTGGCCGAGGAACTGCCCTCATCCAGCAGGTAGCGGGAGAAGAGCACGCCGAAACAAGAACCTAACAGAGGCACCAGCATCTGCAAATACCAACACACACCTTCAGGGTTTTGGGTCACACGAAAGCGCATATATTACAGTATTCTTATTTAGTGTTTTTTTTTTTTTACTATTTTATGGGGATCAGAGGCCACCGATAAGAAAGACACCAGTCACTCTATAGTTACTGACGCTTGTAGACAAATGGCAGATGTTGTAAAGGTACACACACACTGAAAAGCAAAGTTGATGGGATGGGATAAGTATTGTGGAAGTAGAGGAGAGGGCGGGGAGGTTTGTGTGTGAGGCCAAGGGAGGCGGGTCTAAGATCAATACAACCTTGCCAGTTTGGTCTAGTTACCCCTGTTACTGGGCGGAGGTCGACCAGGGAGACACAATTAAGAAGAGAGAGGTAGTGGTAGATAGATAGATATAAAAACGTGATTAGATTGGATGGGTCAGTAGAGCAGGTGATACATAAAGAGATTAAATATTTGGGTTAGATTAACTATGCATGAGGTAAACATTCCTCCAATCTCTCTCTCTCTCTCTCTCACCGTGATGATGAAACTGCCCAGGACCACCATCCACCCCCAGCCTCCGTCAGGAATTCGTGATGCCTCTGGGTCGTCAGTCACTTCTACACCATCTTTGCCAGCCGTCACACCATCGTTGCCAGCCTTCACACCATCGTTGCCAGCCTTCACACCATCGTTACCAGCCATCACACTATCATTACCAGCCTTCATACCATCGTTACCAGCCTTCACACCATCGTTACCAGCCATCACACCATCGTTTCCAGCCTTCACACCATCGTTACCAGCCTTCACACCATCGTTGCCAGCCTTCACACCATCGTTACCAGCCATCACACCATCGTTTCCAGCCATCACACCATCGTTTCCAGCCTTCACACCATCGTTACCAGCCATCACACCATCGTTTCCAGCCATCACACCATCGTTACTAGCCATCACACTATCGTTGCCAGCCATCACACCATCGTTACCAGCCGTCACACCATCGTTACCAGCCATCACACCATCGTTTCCAGCCATCACACCATCATTTCCAGCCATCACACCATCGTTTCCAGCCTTCACACCATCGTTACCAGCCATCACACCATCGTTACCAGCCATCACACCATCGTTTCCAGCCTTCACACCATCGTTACCAGCCATCACACCATCGTTTCCAGCCATCACACCATCGTTACCAGCCATCACACCATCGTTACCAGCCTTCACACCATCGTTACCAGCCATCACACCATCGTTACCAGCCATCACACCATCGTTACCAGCCATCACACCATCGTTGCCAGCCTTCACACCATCGTTACCAGCCATCACACCATCGTTACCAGCCATCACACCATCGTTACCAGCCTTCACACCATCGTTACCAGCCATCACACCATCGTTACCAGCCATCACACCATCGTTACCAGCCATCACACCATCGTCGGAACAACAAATCGGAGTCACACAAGTCCTGGTTCCCCGACAACGCTCTACTATCTTCTTCCCATCATCTTCCTGGCCCAGCTGACCCTCTGAAGGTGTCGCCTGGATCGTGGTCTTCCCCCTTGTGGTCACCAGCCTCTGTCAACACCGCCACTACCGTTCTCTATCTGTTGGGCAGCATCCGGCAGTAAGTGGGCTTCCGGTACCAGGCAGATGTTGTCATGACGCTAGATATTGCCTTGAACAGCTGCACCACCTACTGGATCAACCCCAAAAACACCTGTAAAAATTATAGAACACCTGTTAGTTTGGATTCATTCACCAGGTAAATAAATGCTAATTACTTAAGTCATTCATGGGGGGCATTGTCACGTAATATTTTATCAGTTTCTCCTCAACACACACACACACATTTGTTACGGAACTCTTAACTCTCTTACGACAATGTTTTTAATTAAGTAATTAAACCAATAAACGTTTAACAGCAACAATAATATTACGACAACAACAATTACCATCACCACTACTGCCACCACTACGATAACAACAATCATCACCACCCCGCCATAACAACAATTAACTCCACCACTAACAACAACAACAAAAATTATCACCACTACCCTCTCCTCCATCACCATCCAGTGTCCTCCCTCCCTCCCTCCCTACCTCCCCCACTCCCTCTCCCCTCCCTCCTTACTCTCTGCACCAACACGCTTCCCGCCGTCAGTAATATCACATCCCACTCTCATGACGCAGAATATTGTGCCGTTGTGTAAACATTGCGTCATCAACATACACTCACACGTCATGTCATTGTAACAAAGTATACACCGCCGTCAACAGGGAACTACACACAACACGTATTGAAAACTGAACTACTTGTGAACTAAGATGGAGTGTGTTGACGTGTTTTTAGAGTGCTGGGGTGCGTCAGTCAGAATCTCAGCTCGGTGTCCATTGGAACTGACTGACTGACTGACTGAATGAATGATGTTTTTCCTTGGTGATGTAATATATATATTTTTTTAAGTATATCTACATTATCTTATTTTAAAGTATACCGCACTGACACAAATATGAAGTATTTTTTATTTTGCTTTATCTTATGTTATATTATGTGTCGGGTTAAATTAGATTAGGTTGGGTGGTGAGTGGTAAATGGTGGTGTGTGGTGATGGGTGAGTGGTGTGTGGTGGTGGTGTGTGATGATGGGTGTGGTGGTGTTGTGGTGGTGGTGTGTGGTGGTGGGTGGTGTGTGTGGTGATGGGTGAGTGGTGTGGTGGTGGTGTGTGATGATGGGTGTGGTGGTGTTGGTGTGGTGGTGTGTGGTGGTGGGTGTGGTGGTGTGTGTGTGTGGTGGTGGTGTGTGTGGTGATGTGGTGGTTGGTTGTTGCGTCATGTGAAGCAAGGATCAGCTGATGTGTGGGGAGGGAGGAGGAGGGACGGGGAGTAGGGAGGGAGGGGTAGAGGCCGGGTAGTGGAGAGGGGAGGGGGTAGAGGCCGGGTAGTGGAGAGGGGAGGGGGCAGGTTGTGGGAAGGGGACGGTGAGGGGACGGTGAGTGGGGAGAAGAGGAGAGGGGACGGGGAGTGGGGAGGGGAGAAGGGGCCAGGTAGTGGGGAGGGAAGAAGGGGCCAGGAAGTGGGGAGGAGAGGGGAGGGATAGAGGTCGGGTAGTGGAAAGGGACCGTGTATGCCAAGATGATTGATTGATTGAAACAGTTTATTTGGCCAGAAAAACACAGATACAGAGTTAATAATAATAACAATATTAACATGGCCGAGCCAGTTGAGAACCTGAGCTCTCTTGTAGGCACCTGATATATACTATATATTTATCTCAAGAAAACTTTATGTAACATTTAGTGTCATCCTGAATAGTACAATAGCATGGTGGACACAAGAACACATCAGAATGTTACCACGGTTATCACTTCGATATTTATTTATTTTATTTTATTTATTTATTTATTTATTTTTACATTTATATTTTAAGTATATACATAAGTTATAGTGGAACTGAAAAAAACATAAATATGATGAGGGGAGCAGTACAACATGAGTGGAACAAGAGGACGGAGCTGTCAAGATTATGTCTAGTTGGCAAATATGTTTATTGCAATGGTAATTTCTTATCCATCTACCTGATAATTCCTGATATAATGGTTTTGATGGTACAATAAAACCTGGTATATATAGTAGGTATTACAAGAAATATTAATACTTAGACAATAGATATTTTTTAAGAGATGATTTAAGGGAAGGGAGTGTAGTCTTTGCTCGGATGGGTGGGGGTTAGTTGTTCCACACCTTCACACCTTGATATTTTATGGAGGTCTGGGACTGAGAGGAGCGCAGAGTAGGGGGGGGGGGGGGGTCTTAGTACCTCGTGGTGCCTTAAGTTGTATCTCTGATTATTCCGGAACTGGAAATAAGTGTTGTCAATCAAGTGATTGACAGATTTGTAAACAAATAGGGTACAGCAGTAGGTGTTAATATCCTCGAATTTTATCATCTTCAATTTAGCAAATTGTTCGTTTGTGTGATCTGTTTTTTTCAAGTAGGTCATTGTCCGTACAACTCTCTCTTGTGCAGTAACCAGGGATTGGGTCTTTGAAGAGCCAGAAGCCCCCTATAGATTGTGACAGTGTATCAGGTGTTGTTAAACAAGATCATAATAGATTTCTTTCATTGCTGTGAGAGTGAGTGACTGTCGAGTGTGATACATGATACCGCACTATTTATTGTGTTACGAACCCCTCCACCCCGCACTACGAAGCACGCCATCTATTGTCCTGATCTACCTACCCAGCACCACGAGCAACGCCATCTAGGGACGAGACACGAGTATGACTCGTCTTAGTTACCACTCCGAGGTTTCCCTTCTCCATATCCTGGGTTGCGTCACCTCCTCAAAGTCTTCTTTGTCAGCTCCAATTCGAGGAGAGGCACTTGGCTCTGGGAAGTGACCACAGGATCATCTATCCTCTAAACCTACGTGCAGTGACTTCCTACCGTCTTCTACAATACTCAGCCTTACTCGTCAGCCATCTCAGCTCCTCACTTAAGTACTTGTATTTGTATTAACTCCCCCACGTCCACTTGCTTCAAGATTGTTTTATGTTTATTAATATGTATATACTGTTAATGTTTAGGTTAAGTTTGGTTAAGGGTAATTTATAAGCTGAATATTTTGTTAAGGGATTTATGGTACTCTATTATATACAACGAAAACTCGCATCCTTTGTCTACCATTTTATAGTCCGATTGTCTTTGTTTTTTTTTTTTTGTTGTTACCTGTTGGGATCTGGGTAGACGTATAACTATATTCTAAATCCCCAACTCGTAACAATTGACTTTACTGCGAATGGCTTGTATGTGGTTTCTCCAGTTAAGTTTCTCATCGACAATAACTCCGCGTTTGAGGACTGCATTACCAAGGTACAGGGGGGTCCAAGTCTAGGGGTAAGTTTTTCCTTCTGTGAAAGATCGTGTAGTGGGTTTTTTCGAGGTTTAAGGTCAGTTTATTACGTATTACCCAGGTCCTGACTTTAGTCAATTCAGTGCTCATAGTTTTCATCAAGGAATGGAGGTCTGAGTTGCTGGCATAGAGATTACTATCGTCTGCAAATAAGTTGTATTTTATGAGTGTGCTGGCGTAGACTATATCGTTTATGTACAACAAAAACAGTACTAGGCCGAGAATGGAACCTTGGGGGACGCCATACAAGATTGGCGAGGAGTCAGATTGGTGATTATTATAGCAGACATACTGCTTCCTGTTGGACAGATATGAGGTAAACCAATTGTGGGACAAGCTTTGAAAGGAGGATGGCATGGTCGACAGTATCAAAGGCTTTAGAGAGGTCCAAGAATATACCGACTGTGAACACTAAGAGAAGTTAATGTTCACACACACATACACACACGCACACACTGAATATACGTTTATCTCTGTACATAAAGCGACGTAAACATCTTTATCCTCCTATAAGACTGAATTATTAGTTAACAATCATAGCAAAAGAGATTATAGACGTTAATCAATGTTAGTTGTATGTTATTTGAGTTCTGTTTACTGTGTTGTATGATGGTTATAATTATTAATGTTTAACTTATAGAATATACTGTATTGGTTTGTAGCTGGATGAAAGAGAGAGAGAGAGAGAACTACTATAGGAGGTAAAGCAAGTGCATGACAGCAATAAGACCACTAGCGCCGTGTTTACACCTACCTGTATACTAGCCCACACTCCCCTTCGTTGTCACGCTACCAGTACCAGGCCATAACAAAACACTCACTACCTTCACACACGCCCTTACACACCAGATCCTCGTTATCGTCGACCAGTAAAGTGCCAGGGAACAGGTTTATACACTCGTAATGTATACACCTCACATTTAAAGTCTCCAAGACCCAGCAACTTCCCAGCTAGCGGGTATGTTCAGCCCTCCGCCACTCAAGCTCAACTTATCACCAAAGACACAATTGATGCTCATTCTGCTATGAACACTGAAAAAATAACAACTTTTATATGTTAGCAGGTACAAAGTCACTTTACCTCGGACACACGAACACCTTCACCGCTATTCAAGTGACGAGTCTCTCACTGTGTCCCCCTCAAAATACGTCACTTTTCTATAGCTGTTCATGTTTTGTTTTTTCTCTGTTGCTCAGTGCGGAATGTGGATATGTTGACACTGCCAGCCCACGTTGTAGACTCCTTGCCTGCCAGCCCCGCGCCCAAGCCCACCTAGCGTACCGTCAACACCGATAGAGGGAGGGTGCCAATTAGTGCCATTTATCCTACAGGGCAAGGGGATGGTCGTCAGCTACACATACCTGTGCATATCCTCACGCAGAGTCCAGTGTGAAGTTACACCCCCATCAGGTAAAATTAGCTTATCAGTTGTTCTCATCGTATCGTATTATAAATAAAGACAACACCTCAATGATTCTCTGTTACCAGGTGGAAGTTACTACACCTGTATATTATATTTGTACTGTGGTTTTGCTTCCTTATAAGGTTGATTGGATTCTAGTCTTGGCAACTGAGACAGTATCTTTTAATATAAGGTCACTCAACCAGTGTTTTCATTTTTATTAGATTACTAGCAAAATTACCCGGCTTCGTACGGGTTTGGTATATATATATATATATATATATATATATATATATATATATACCTCATGTAAATCCACAATGAAAACGTGTGATTTTATCAAGATACATATATACACAGTGCTGTATTGCACTCATTATCACAGTTTGTCCTCCCTGGCACAGGTAACTACATCAGCCTAATCTCACCATGACTGTATCAGTTTGCCCTCCTTGATACGGGCAATCACCCCCCACAATCGCCGTGGTGTTTTGTCAGTCGGGGAAGATTTTTGGTTCTCGCCCGTGGGTCCGTGGTCAATAGTAATACTCAGGTGCTCATAGACCCATGTAATGTGTGTGTAAGATTTTAGAGCTATGGCTGGACAAACAGACACACTCACGGACAAACACGTCCTTATATCATCGTATATCGCATCTTATTTATCTACGGATATGTTTATCTATCTATCTATCTATCTATCTATCTAGCTTGTTATCTATAAAACTTTAATAAAGTTACAGTAAATCCCATGCAGTGGCAGTATTATATAAAGGTAGCGCCCTGACTCACGTACACAAACCATGGCCAGACACGCCTCGCTGTTTACCACTTTAAGCCTCAAGGTGTAGATGGAGGACTTATATAGTTTACCCTCTGAATACCGTGCCTTTGCTAGACTCCCTGCCTGATTTCACCCCCATCAAAACTCTCTTATTCATCATCACACCTCCACACTCATCATATACTTTCTTTAGCTTCAATATTTTTGTTTTTTAGGAAGGGTCAATTAATCCACACACACGCAACTTATACACACACACACACACACACACACACTAAAGTGAAAGTCATGTTAGGTTCCAAACCTTAATGAAATAACGAGTTTTTGTGGAAATAAATGTAAATAAAAGATAACTGGTACTAGGAAAATATATTAGATTGTTCACTAGAGAATTACACGTTCACATTCTCAAACGTAAAACGAATTTATATTTTTTTATGGAGTGTCTCGTACTCGTGTTAAACTTTAGTGTTCGCCCGTTGCAGTGTTACAGTAATTCACGCTACGTTTATAATACATATATTGATTAAGCATTAAAAATGTTCCTGTATAATCGGAGAGAGAGAGAGAGAGAGAGAGAGAGAGAGGAGCATTTTTAGAATGTAGGAGTTATGCCTCAAGTACAAATATTTTATTTTCTCTTATATAACAACACAGAAAATGATTTATATTTAAGGCTATACTGTACCATATAATTGCTAATTTGGGAAGATAAATACTGTACCACCAGTTTTTATTTTAGAGAATATTAAAGATGGATAAACAAGGTATTCAAGAAGAGCTTGATATAGATATAGATAAATACAATATATACCAAAGTAATTGTACCGTAGGTATTGCGTATCCTCTGCTAGTGTCTCTTAATACGTACAGTAGTTTCGAAGTATCAAAATCCGTACTCAATTATTTTCCCATGTATTTCATGATTAAAATTTTATATGAAAGATCGACGCTATATCAGCAGCTGTATTTATATCGGTGTGTAAGTGTGTCAAGTAGATAACTTTTTCTCGCTCCTGTTAACGATAAGAATTTAACACGTGACTTAGAGAATCATCCTGTGGAGGTATGGGCGGCGTCTGAGGCAGGACGGGCGGTGCATGTGCTTCCCTCACGGCTGGTACAGAGTCGTCAGATGCACCTGCTGGGGTGTGGGGGCCTGGGTCAGGAGCAGGGGCTGCGTCAGCAGAAGCGGATGAGGGCTCGTGACAGCAGCAGGGTGCAGGACATTAGCAGGGAGTACCTGAGGGAGAAAAGAGGGGTTTGTGGGTCCGCGTCAGGAGCAGGGGCCGCGTCAGGATGAGCGGCAGGGGGTACTGCTGGGCCGGGGGCGGCGTCTGAGGCAGGACGGGTGTGTTGGGGTCGGTAGGACGTGGTGCTTGGGGCAGGAAGAGGAGCGGCTGTCTGCTTAGAGTAGCAGAGCTGCTTTAGGGTGTCTAACCTGCGGTGTAGAGACAGTAGCTGTAGAGTCGATGAGAGTGCTTCTGGGTGGATAAGCCAGTCTTCCATGTTGCTTGAAGACTGGGAGCGTGATCAGTTTCTCCTCCATCCTGTGTGAGTGCGAATCTCCGGGGGTCACCATTTGTGGAGGTATGGGTTGTTTGTGTTCACACTCAGGATGGGTTGGAGAAAGGAAACTCACAATGTGCTCTCTGTATACATGTTGTATTGGATGTACAATGCAGCTTGGTGCTGGGAAGGCAGCATGATGTAGAGAGAGCTGGTTGGTGAGGGTGCTCAGAAGAGGACAGCTTGTGGGTCGCCATGCTCGCCGGCGGGAGCGAGGACCGCCAGGCAGGCGGAGGAGGAGTTGGTGTTGCTTGCTGGTTGGTGTAGGTAGAAAAGAGACAGGTCACCACGAGGTCAGGTCTTTTATAGCGGAGGTAAGAGTGGGTAGATAGTTGACCCCCGCTCCGTGGGCGGCGCTGGTTGACCTAGACAACGAGGCATACACTGGGGAATTCGTGGGGTCGGCTACGCAGCGACAAACAGCGTTTGTTTGTAGGGGAGAAATCCACTACAATCCGTCTGTCTGTCTCTCTGTCTTTAATAGTGACCACGTTCATCTGCACGGCCATAATCAGACGTACAACATATATTCCTCACCATGAACTTCACCCATCTCGAGAAAAGAAAAATAGAAACAGGTATAAAGAAAAAAAATAAGAAATAACGAGAAAAATAAGAGAGAAGAAAATTTCCTATACAGTTACTATGCGTCCACCGAAGCCCCTGCGTGCTGTTGTAGGTTATTGGAAGACAAACACATTAGAGTACTATAGCAACACCCTGCCTGCCTTTGCCACCGTGCTCAAATGACCCAGCAGGCCTGGTTTCAATTCCAGGGTATTCAACTTGGATATTTCTTGTGTGTTTGTCTTCCAATAAGCTGCAACAGCACGCAGGGGTTACGGTGGACGCGTAATAACCGCCTCAAGTCGTGCACTTAAATAACTTAGACTGATAAATCCTGGGATGCACCTCGAGATGGGTGAAGGTCATGGTGAGGAGTATATGTTGTCAATCAAGTCTTTCAGTTTGTCAAAGCACAGCATGATGCATATATGGAGGACAGGCTCAATCGACGTAGTTCTTCATACACGAGAACTAAGCATGGGATGGTCCTGAGCTACCAAGAAGTCAGATTTTCTCCACACTCTTGAGGAGAAAAATCCAATGGAGGCTCCTGATGTCGAGGTCAAGGTAATGGATGGGTCTACTGTGATCCACACTTTGCTACCAGGCAAAAACTGTAAAACAGTCATGGAGTATGCAACACAAGTCCTGGTTAGGTTGTGAAAGCATGAATTTAGAGTTAAAGATGGATGATTTGAGGCGGTTGAAGGCCAAAATATTAATAATAATAAATTCGAATGGCGGCCATTTTTAAACCAAAGATAGACGCTGCCACAGGATGTCTTCAGCCTTACTAGGAATTATTTTTTTTTCTAAGAGCAGTTGTGTACACAGTCGTAAGTGTATCCTGTATTATCCTTGCTGGGAGCTGAATCATCTTCTATCTTAGATGTGCCCTCTTTCTTTTCTCCTTCCTCCTCCTCTTTTTCGTTCCTTCCTCCTCCTATCCCTAACCCCCTTGTTTCCTCCTATACCCCCTTTCATCTTCCTCCTCCTCCATCTCCCTACACCCCTTCCCTCTGTGCTCAAGCAGGGAGGTGGGGTAAGGTACTGCTTTCCCGGGCCCATGGAGTTGAGGGCTCCAGGGGGGCTGTATAGGGCCTCCGGATACCATGATGGCCTCACTCCCGTTTACAAACAACAATGTTAAAGTGAAGAACATGTGTGGGTGATGGGACTTGGGGTAGGGGGAACCGTCGCTTGATACAGCTCGGTGATGTCATGCTTGGGCACTGCCTTCCCTACACCACCTCCTCCTGTACACTCCTTCCCTTTTCCTCCTCCTCCCCCTTTCCTCCTCCTTTCCTCCTCCATTATCATCCTTTCCTTACACTTCCTCCTACACTCCTTCCTTCCTCCTCCTCCTCCTCATCCTTCTTCTCATTCTCCCTCCTCCTCCTCCCCCGCATCATACAGGCTCACAATTGACGTCATCCGGTTCACTCTGGTGAGGAAAAGAGGAAGTTCACTGAGTGGAAAAACGTATGGACAGACAGACAGACAGACAGACAGACACAGACTACGTAACGTCGTGCTTCGTATATTATCATAAGGTTTTATTCCTGGGGTAAGGTGAGGGGGTGATGAGGGGACGGGGTGGAGGAGGAGGGAGGGACGATGCAGGGGGAGGGAGGTATCAGGAGGGTAGAGAGACATGGTGTCAGGAGACATGGTGCCAGGGGGGGAGGTATCAGGGGAGAGAGAGGAAGTATGGTGGTACTAGGGGAGGGGAGGGAGGGGGAACAGAAAGGAAGCTCACGGTGACGGAGCTGTGGTGAACAGTAGCTGTATTAGTGGTGATCACGGCGGTCATAGAGATAGTGCTGCCTGGTGCCTCCTCCTCTATTGGTGAATCTCATTCATCCCCTACTCCCTCACTACTCCTTGGTGTGTTTTATCTCATGTCTGAAAATTACCTTAAAAAGAAATTATATAAACAAGACGAGATGAAAAGATTTTATGAAACCTACTGACATTAATTACGTTTGAAATCATACACAAGAGACTAGAACTAATGGGAGGAGAAAGAACCGTGAGCGAGTGAGTGAGTGAGTGACTTCGAAATCAAGAATCTCTCATTAAATCTCTTCGTCACGGAGCCTTTTAAGACCAGACAGGCACCTCTTGAAAAATCATCAGGAGACTAACCAAGACTTCTCTGTTTGTACTGTAGGTCCCTCTAGAGTCCACAAATGGGGCGAGAAGGACCCGAGACTCACCAACAAGGCCCTGGAACTCCTGATGGGGGTTGGGGCTGGGTGGTCGCTGGCGGGGTGTTCCTGATAGCGGTGAGTCACTTTTTTTTGTCTCTTGTTATTATCATGTATATCACCCAAGTCCTTGTCGATTACGTGTTGATATGTCATGCCATTTTTTTTTGTGAGACCTGAAGTGTTTATTTATATTATCGTCGGGAGTAGACAAAGGTGATTTGATTGTAGTGATTGATTGATTGATTGTGGTAATAACATCCCTGGAGACGCAACAGTTTAGGCTTTGGGTCATATGCTAAGCCATGTTGAAGTCCTCGTCTCGTTAGCATCATGAGTGGATGGTATTTGGAGAAGACTCACTGTGGTTTTATCTGAGTAATGATCTTATGTGACGGGCAGCCAAACAGAGTGTGTGTGTGTGTGTGTGTGTGTGTGTGTGTGTGTGTGTGTGTGTGTGTGTGTGTGTGTGTGTGTGTGTGTGTGTGTGTGTGTGTGTGTGTGTGTGTGTGTGTGTGTGTGTGTGTGTGTGTGTGTGTGTGTGTGTGTGTGTGTGTGTGTGTGTGTGTGTGTGTGTGTGTGTGTGTGTGTGTGTGTGTGTGTGTGTGTGTGTGTGTGTGTGTGTGAAAGGTCATCCAGCACTGTATGCGGTGTATCGTCCTTCACACAATCCCTGAAAAATTTCCCAATGGTGTGTCTGTGGGCGTATTAGACCGCGATATATCCTCTTCCTCGACTGTTAGTATTTCTCTTCCACCATCCCTTCTTTACAAAAATAAATAAATAAATAAATAAATAAATAAATAAATAAATAAATAAATAAAACGCTGTGTGTGTGATGCTCCCCCCTACCCCCTACAGTGTGATTACTGCGTTCACTTGGCAATATTTACCACCCTGTTATCTCGTGCCTTGGCTGCTGATCCTAACCCAAAACTAGAATCACACCATCACACCTAAAGCAACGAAGTCGACCTTTTGCCATTTACTACCCTCACAGATAAACACACACAAACATACAAGTCAAGCAGTGATAAGTGGGGCGGCTATCTCTCTCGTCTTCCGTACACTGTACTCCAACTGACTAACAAGCATGACGCAACATCCCCCCTGAACGAAAAATTAGAAGACAAAAATATATATAACGTGTTATCGAGCCTCATTTCTTGACCACCAGGCACCAGCAGGACGATAACTAAATAATATTCGACGAAATAATTTAAATTCTTCCGAGTTCCTCTACGTGACCCAGCTGATAGTGATGTAAATGGCTTCACATCAGATCTCTTGATAAGTGGACGACTTTTGAGGTACACTGATGCCTAATTTAATCTCAGTATTACACCCCACAACTCCATTTCAGAACAATTATGTAAATTTTTCGATATCAACTAATTTAATTTTGAGATGAAACAATGTGGCTGTGGACTAGAAGACTCTCAGCTTTGTACAGTACAGTCCCCTTCACTTGTGCGTTTACAGGGACTCGTTGGATTTTGTGCAGTGTGGTAGACCTGTGTTTGTTTACATTCCACGGAAGTCAATTTGCATTAATAAACATACTATGGAATCAAAATAAAACAATATTAAAACAAATATCTCAATGTAATGATTTGTGGAATGTTTATATGATGAGCCCCTGTAAACGCACGAGTGAAGGGGACTGTACATCTCTTTCTCTCACCAAAAATAAGAGTTGCTTAAAGATTCTTCTGTTTATAATCTATGACTTTTATCTTACGTATACTAATAAAAATCGAACCATGACAACTCAACCCCAGAATCTTAACTCACTCCTTCACTGTGGCTAAATATTGGCCTTCTCCCCCGTGTTCTGTGTACCCCAAGACGGCCATATTCTCTCTATCCTGTACACGTGTTTCCATCTGTTAGACAACGTCCCAACCTACGTACAGTGCCTAGAGCATAAACTTGTATGATTTTACTGATTATCTATCTATCTATCTGTCAACAAGTCTATCTATCTATTTATTTATCTGTCAGCAAGTCTATTTATCTATCTATCTATCTGTCAGCAAGTCTATCTATCTATCTATCTATCTGTCTGTCTATCTATCTATCTTGCAGTTGGTAGTGCCGATGTTGTCTCCCTGCTTCGGCATCCTCTTCTCCCGTCAGCTGATGGACTGGCAAGTGTCCTCCACCAGCGTCGCCCTCATCTACAGCGCCTTCATGGTGGTGTGGAGGCTCACAGGAGTCGCCCTGGGCACCCTGACGCGGGAGTTTGGGTTCCGGCGGGTGGCCATGACGGGGACGTTCCTCACTGCCACTGGCCTCATCCTCAGCGCCTTCGCCAGATCGCCCGAGGCCCTCTTTGTGTTCTTCTCGCTCGGCTGTGGTCAGTAAGGGTGGTATTGGAGGTACGATTACACACACACACACACACACACACACACACACACACACACATCTGTCATGGTTTTGGTATGAATCGGTCCACCAAGATGAATCGGTGGTAGTATGAGTGGATTATATTATATAAAGATAATAATATGTCGTATTTCTTATTTCTTACCGTAGAGTCCGATACCTTCACACTGATTACTTACAGGAGATTATGGCGTATCTATGTAGAAGTTCACTCCACCACTCGACATTCCATGATTTATACTTGATAAATGATGATTTAATGAATTCATTTAATTTTCAACATCCATCTAAGTTACTGGTTATACTTTGTCATAACCAATCAGTCATTACCTTTAGTAATAATAAGATAGGATCACAGATACGGGCAGATAATTGCACTTACATTTATTTGTCAAGCTTCCATACAATGATTTACAATTTGCATGGATATATGATTCACTCACGTTCACGCTGTAATAAAATTAATCTTCTAAAAGAGAATTTTAACTTGGGACACATGTGATTACTCTACTATGGGTATAACTTAACAGAGCCTTAATTCTTCAAGTGATACATTTACTGCCAGCCTGGATTGCTTTTGTTGCAACCAGGCTTCCGCACAAGAACTTCTTTCCACGGGCCACAGCAACAAAAAGTACTCTTGGGTTACCACACATGGTGTCGTGCAGGAGAACTCTGTAAGCGTGACTTGAATTAACCATTTAGGTGCAATAGACCAGCCTGGATTGCTTTTGTCGCAACCAGGCATCCACACGTGATATTTCCACGGGGATAACAACCTAGGTTAACACGCTTAGTCTCGTGTCGACCTTCCACGGCCATAACAACAAAAGGTACTCTTGGTGTACCACACATAGTCTCGCGTCACTGACAGTCACGGTAGACGGTTGTCGCGGCAAGGAGAACTGGTAAGCGTGACTTGAATTAACCATTTAGGTGCAATAGACCAGCCTGGATTGCTTTTGTCGCAACCAGGCTTCCACACGTGATATTTCCACGGGGATAACAAACCTAGGTTAACACACTTAGTCTCATGTCGATCACGGTCACAGTAGACGGGTGTCGTGCAGGAGAACTCTGTAAGCGTGAATTAATTAACCATTTACTGTAGGTTTGATAGGCCAGCCTGGATTGCTCTTGTCGCAACCAGGCATCCACACGTGATATTTCCACGGGGATAACAACCTAGGTTAACACACTTAGTCTCGTGTCGACGACGGTTCACAGGACGGAGTGGCGGTGGAGGACTCTGTGTGGTGTGGTGTCCCGCCCCCTTTCAGGAGGGAGAGGATGGAGACGACGTCTTAACTAACCCATGGCTCAGGGGATACTACTTAAAATGAGGTTTTTGGGTGTGAAGCGATGAACAGTACAACACTGTTCCACTGCCCACCCCCCTAAAGGCTGGCTAACATACACTAATTGAAAAATACATGTCCCAGTTATGCCTCGCCGGGCGTCTTATCTCTGGTAAAACAAACTTTGGAGTTGGTTGCGTGGGTAAGCCTAACGCAACCCATGACAATATGTGAGGGAGATACTGCTCCACATGAAGCCCTTCATAACACCATCTGTGAGCAAGTTATTGCACCACATGAAGCCCTTCATAACACCACCTGTGAGCAAGTTGCTGCATCACATGAAGCCCTTCATAACACCACCTGTGAGGGAGTTACTGCACCAAGTGAAACCCTTCAAAACACCATCCGTTAGGGAGTTACTGCACCACATGAAGCCCTTCGTAGCACCATCTGTGACGAAGTTACTGCACCACATGAAGCCATTCATAACACCACCTGTGAGGGAGATACTGCAACACATGATGCCCTTCATAACACTACCTGTGTGGGAGATATTGCACCACGTGAAGCCCTTCATAACACCATCTGTGAGGGAGTTACTACACCACGTGAAGCCCTTCATAAAACCACCTGTGAGGGAAATACTGCACCACGAGTTTGCTGTTCAACACCTACATTAATCTGTATGTTCACTGTATGTTCCTTTACCTTTCTCTAATGAAGGCTTTTGTTAAACCACCAATGTATGTAATAAGTCATTTATGTCCAATGTATATTTTCAGCATTCGGCTGCAGAATTTTTCAATAAACCCTTAATTATTATATATTATTATATATTATATAAATACACACACACACACACACACACACACACACACACACTACTACTACTACTACTATCACTCGGAGTACAGTATGACGATCATACAGTAATCTCTGAGGCGGCTCAGGAGGCCGATACGGGACCGGCAGGACCGTCCACAGATGTTGCACGTGTTGGGGGCTACATCTAGTGTTGGAGGGGCGGTGGCAGCGTCTTTCCGGCGCTGGCGTTTCTCTGTCTCAATATGCAATCGAGCTAATTCGAAAGTATTAACCACCTTCTCGTGTGGTACTCCCCGCGTTACGGTGTGGAGTGACCGTCTTCTAGGTGAGGGGGTCTGCTGTCTGTGACCCACATCTCTGCCATACAGATCAGGGGAGGACCACTGATCGATATATGCGCAGATTTGTAAATAATATAAGTTCTCTACAGCTGAAGACACGAGTACGGGCTCTGCCGAAGGCTTCAGAAGTACATCTAATCTTATGCTTTTTTTCTTCATTGATGTCCCCGCGGTGGTGGACAGGTGGAAACCAAAGTTAACATTAGAGATAGTACCGTCAACCTGCGAATGCTTCTGCGTAAGTGTTCGAGATCTCCAGTAGGTCGCGTTCAGTGTGTGCGATGAGAGTGAGGTCGTCCGTATACTGATGTTCAGTGATGGAAGCGACCGACACCTTTGTTCCTGCCTAAAGTCGTCTTATGTTTAAGAGTCCTTTCATCCGTCATTGGATGGCTTGATTGGCCACAGAGTAAGAAAGGCAGTCAAGAAACTGGAAAAGATAGTTAGTGCCAGTACACATCTTTGTTTTACCCCCTGTTTGATGAGGAAGAACTCAACCTGGGGGCTATTAAACACACACACACACACACACACACTACCAGAGATAATCAGTCCCTCAGCTACGGTACTTTTTAACCGCGGCGTTGCTTAACTACGGCAATTTTTTAAACCACTGAGAGAGTTATACTGTTTATTTTTATGATGAATAATTGTTAGCGAAGTGATCCATGAGATGACTTTTGTTATATTCTAATACAGTGAAAGGTTTCAACTCTTCCTGGCTCTCAAGTCTTCCAGAAAATTATAACTCTCCCTGGTATTCAATCTCAAAACATTCTAGCTCTTTATAGCACTAATTTTTTCAGACAATTCTAACTTGACCTAGTTTTCAGTCTTTCAAAAAACTATGAATAAACCTTCATTTCGGTGAGCACTAAGTCCAGGTTATGTTGACAGGTCTCGGTAGTGGGCTCTCGTGTGTAGGCTACCTCATCCTGGCGCAGTACTTCCAGAAGCACCGCGGCCTGGCCAACACCTGTCTCATGGCTGGCGCAGGACTCGGTCACTTCTTTAGCCCGTTGCTCATCCGCTTTCTGCAGGATAAATACGGCTTTGTGGGCGCCACCATGATCCTTGGCGCCATCATTCTTCATGGTTTCGTAGGAGCCACCTTGTTCCACCCAGTCGAGTGGCACGGGAGGTTCACCAAGATGAAGAAACCTCTCAACGATCCTGATGTTGTTTCTACCCTCTTACCAAACACTCGCGTCCCAGAGAATGGCCCAACTGCTTCCACTACTCAAGTTAAAGAGTACAATTGGCCAACGTTGTTCGACTCAGGGTATTTGCAACAAGTCAGCAGAGACCAGGAAGGATTCAATATCCAAGTAAGTATTCATCCGCTACGTCTGCCGTGGACCTGGCCAGCCTGTCCTGTAACTCCGTGGCCGCTCAGGCAAACGAAGAAGCAACATCCTCGCCTGGCAGACCTGTGAACTGCATGTGTACACTCTGGCGCAACATAACACGAGTCCTTCACTCAGTAATAAACGATATTCGTATCCTGAAGCATCCATCTTGCTTTATCATAGCCTTAGGGTCAACTTTAATAGTTAACGGGGAGGCCAACTTCACCGTGTTGGTGCCCTTCGCCGTACAGGCAACTGGTCACTCACCACAGACTGCCGCCTGGTGCGTGTCTGTGGCTTGAGTCTGCAGTTTCCTTACCAGGATCTGCGTGTCAGCTCTCTCAGATTTCTCCTGGTTCCACATGCGACTCTGCTATATGATTGGCATGGCTACCCTCAGTATATCTATTATTGGTAAGTTTGGCATTTTTTCGCAGTGCATTGTTCTGATATTATCTGTATGACAATAATCCACAAACACGACTTCTGGTTATTAGGCTTCTGTTGATCTCTGCCTGCGTGCGTGTTAACTCTGGTCAGTGTTCAGGTGTGCCATCGGTATCTTCTACGGTCTGAACAACCTGCTCATGACTGAAATCGTTGGGCTCCACAACCTCACCTCCATGTACGGCGCCAGGAACTTCCTCGGCGCTCTAGGTTTTTTCTCAATCGTTCCTCTAATTGGCAAGTCGCTTCTTCAGCCAGATGTTGCAACTCTTGAATGCATATATACGTTGTTTTAAGAATTACAACCATATATTGAGTATATTCACAACAACGATATTTTTCCTAGACCATGTATACAAAATTTAGTACAACACATATCTAAATTATCAACACAAATATAACTATTTACCCCAAAATTCAAGAGTGATCCTCATGCATGTAATGCAAGGTGTCCCTCTCCAGGATTACGTGACGTCAGTGGCAGCTACACCGTCAGCATGTGGGTGTTAGCGGGCATGATCCTCACCAGCTTTGTGTTGTGGCTCTTCATGCCGGCCGCCCAAGCTTACGACAACCGGTGCAAAGAGCGGAGCGAGTCACCCCGGCAGACCTCCACACACTTTAACCTTTGAGTTGTTGTGGCTTGTAATATATTTGCCGTGTACCGTGTGCCCTCATTTTCACAAAAACAGTTCTTACAAATACATCATCTTACAAAGAATATAAAGCATACATACTAATGGGAAACGAAAGAATTTTTTTTTTCTACCTTGGTTTAGCCGTGGTGTAGAGCTGGGGGGCCGCCACAGGGTGGTGTAATTGAGGGACTAAGAGGCAAGCCTGCTAGAATATCACAGCCTTAAAGAGACGGACCGCTCTACTTGCATATTGGCACGTCTCTGAAAATTGAATTGTGGTATATATTATAAAAAATTAAACCGTTACAGGGTCATGAATTTGAAACATAACTTTTGCTGTTACTATTTTAGTTATGAAGTGTTCACTGTTCAGTCTTTTCACCCAGTCAAACATTACAACGAAAAGATGAACGTTGAACTTACAATCACTCGGACCATGAAACGCTACCAGAGTTGAACCATCACTTAAGGAATGTCCATACTCAACATAAATCTCATTCGTGTGTATTTATTAATCCCTGGTTGACATTTTACCAAGTTACGGCATATTTGATAAAGTATCTTGATCTAATCGTTCCTTCAGGCTGTTAACTCTGGCGTATCATATTAATAAGATGAGGCTAATGATATTTTAATTACCCATAAATTCTTATTGGTAGAACCTTCGCTTTGTTTGTTTGCTTCGTTAGGTCTTGTATTACGTGAGATCCAATGTTATGTGGACTTACTTTCACAGATAAACGTCTGTTATTATTTTCATTACACCTACATACGTCAACACGATATTGTAATATAACACTTTCTGATCACCGTATATAATGAAACAAAAGGGTGTGTATGCGGGTTAAAATATACAAAGTGGCTTATCATTATAATACATTTACTGAAGAAATATAAAGTGTATTTCTGTCTAAATAAAGATTTTAGTTTAAATAATCACTCTTTTTATTGATTACACGCAATGCTATTTTCATTATAAACTACAGTACGGTATTAGATTTCTTTACGATGTGATGCTTGGAGTCACTCATCACATCTTTGCTTAGCGCTAAAGGGTGTGTTCTTGTCCCCTTAAGATGTACAGTAATGTGTTTAAATGGTAAAGGTAATTATATATAAAAAACGTGATTTGAAAATTACCGTCATAGAGTAAGTAGCGTTATGAATATTTTATTGTGTTGTTATTTGCAGGGCCATTAAAGTCTCAATGTTTTATTACAGTACATAGTACTGTTTACGAGCAGAGTGATTGTGTGGCTTCACACACACACACACACACACTATAACTTGACTGTGTTTTCTTCCTTTATATATATATATATATACTGAATGTAGTTTCTTTGCTTTACATGTGAACTAACTCATGGAAACTGATTCACTAAATATCACAATTTAATCTTCGACTTAATTTACATAGAAGTAATGGAACGGTTTTCTTTATATCGTCTACGTTCACTTAATTACAAAATTATGCGTCGTATCATAAATAATTTACACATTACATACAGGAAATCAATGTTGTACTTATCTTTCTTGTGAATTAAACGGCCTTGGGTGTGCAACAGTCATCGGGTAGAGTTGATAATGAGGTTATGAGTGTAGCCAGTGTTGAGCCAAGCGTGATGCTGTCTATACGTAGCTCTCAAAACTCCAGGCTGGCCCCACTACCTCCTCTGCTGCAGGCGCTGCGCTCGTTCTCAGACTTACCTGGCGCTTTATTTTGCGATTAGTGTAATTTAATAATACTGACACAGGTGTGGACAGATAGTGAGTGAGAATTCCAGATGATAACTTGGTGTGGCGTGAGTGTGAGCCGAGTCAGCAAGGGTACCTGTAGGTCTCCTGCACCAACATGATCCCAAACAGCCCTAACCCATCAACGGACAAGCCCAATGAGCCTCCTTTCCAGGATCAGCTGAAGGCCAGCCAAGATCATAATGTGGGTGGTTCCAGGACTTCAGTTACCGAAGAATATCATCTACAGGAGAGACAACAAAAACCAGAGATGCAGCAATTGCAAGAAGTACGGGAGGAGCCCGAGGTGCAGGAGGGTCCTCAGGCCCCCGACGGTGGCTGGGGCTGGATGGTAGCTATCGGAGCTTTCCTCAATATGGTGCGTTACTTTTGATATATATTTCTGTACTTTTATATTTGTAAATGGGGATTACTTGAGGTAAATGTCATTATTATTCTCCCAAAGGAGGAAGACATTGTTTTTCCTGTTTCTTTCTTGTATAAACAATTAATCGTTACCCCTCAATTCAGGACCAATTAATTTGAAAATTGGTAGACTTGCAGCTCACCAGGATCCCTTCTCTATTTTGATTATATTTACCTTTAAATAAAATAACTCAAACAAGCCACGAGACTATAATCTAAAGTGTTTGTCAGAAATTATATGCTACCACATAAATCATAACACTGAAATCCCATTTTAGAGGAAGATAAAACAGCAGACAAACACTGGGAATTTAGTGAGAGTACTTACAGTAGACTAGCAGTGCTTACAGCAGAGTAGTTAAAATGATGCTTTGGCAAATATTGTATATACCCTGTATCCCACTCAGTTACTTCTAAGAAAAAAATTATCTGGTTATTTTATTATCGTTAAATGCAATAAAAATTTAATTGGTAGTTTTTGGTTCACTGTTCTGGTGTAATTCACACAATATACAAAGTTACCTTGCGAGACGCCATCTAACAGTGACAGTTTTAGAATTTTGACCCTTTACTGAGGTCAAAGGTCGCCAAGTTATGTTGAATTAAATGGAGAGGTATGTTGCTTAAGTACTTATTGTATGTTGGTAAATACACTACTGTAGTCATCAATGTTTAAAAAATTAGGACATATACATCTCTCTGAGGATTTAATCAGGGGGTTAAAGTTATCGTATTTATGATGAAAGTTTTGAAACAGTTGTGTCATTTATCTTATCATTTATCCACGGTGATATATAGCATTCTTCACTCTTCACTTATCTGGCTATTATCCGCTCGGGTGGTCGGTCAAGTCTGTTAGGTAATGTTGGCAAGTACAGTACTGGCTACGGAATGTATCTGAACTAACGCCAGTGTTGGTTAAGTCAGATTTTTAATGAGCTCACACTCAGTACCGTCACAGCATTATCTAGTAGGTTATTCCAAGAGTTCACAACTCAAAACTCCCAAAAGGTTTTACTCTGACAATTTTCTAAACTTAGGGTTTCTTCAACCTGAGGCTGTGACCTCTAGTGGGACGGGTATCTCAATCATACACCTAATAGAGCAAATTCGAAAGCAGGTATATATATGTGTGAATATTCCCCCACAAATCCTCGACTGCGGAATGTTACTTATTTCTAAAATCGGTGTAGTGTAATTAAATTTCGTTTCCACGCGAATGTTTGATAAACACGAGGCTTCAACGCGTGTCCCCTTATTACCAGAGCTTCAACTTGTCATGGGCAGTACAGGGGTATTAAAAATTAAACAAGACTCATCATACAACTCTTAATAGATACTTGTTTAATCTAGAATAATAATTTATATATTTGTTGAATGTAGTGCAGTGGCTGGATACCATATGTGAGACCAACAATACGCATCGTTACAGCTGGTGATACCTATGCTGTCTCCGTCCTTCGGTATCCTGTTTTCTAGCCAGCTGCTGGAATGGCAAGCTTCCTCCACCACTGTAGCCATTATCTACAGCAGCTTCATGGTCATGTGGAAGTTGACCGGTGTAACTGTGGGCAGCTTATGCAAGGAGTTTGGCTTCAGGCGGGTAGGAATGACGGGCACACTCCTTACCTCCACCTGCCTCACGCTGTGTACCTTCGCCACTTCACCTGCGGTCATCTTCATATTCTTCTCGCTTGGTTGTGGTCAGTTATTTTCGTGATTATAAAATTTATTTATCAAGTTTTATCAGACATCAATAGTACTGTCATAATCAGTTAGGAGTACCAGGTTGTGAACTTTTGAGAGTTGAAAGGATAGGTTACTTCAGTGTCGGACTTGGGATGAGAATTAAATAACTTTTAAAAGTGAGTTATTATATACTATTGCCAAAACTAATTGTAAGGGACCACACAGTATAAGTAAGACTCTCCTAACCAAACCTGACCCACACACTATAGTATGCTGGGAATATTTGTGTGGTGGTGACATGGATTAACTTTTAATATCCAGGTTAGGGAACGTATTGACACCTTCTGTAGCACTCAAGCTGCTGTGTATAAAGGTCATATACAGAAGAGACACACGTGATAGAAGAATTAGCGTGAAAGTGTTTTATCAGGTCATACATGGAGGCTCAGGTTGTAGTTAAATTGCTCAAGAAACACACGAGTATGTGTATGAGATGAGGGAAAATGTATTTTCTCCCCCAGCACAGCTTCAACTGATCTTGGGGAGTCTGTCAAACTCAGTTCTGACCAGATAATATGTTTGTGAAATCTGCAGTAACAGTAAATGGGAATAGCATTTTATCCTTTATTGATCCTTTCATTAAGATCCTGAGCTTTAAGACTGTTTCAATGCCCCCACCCTCAAGTGTTTACATACCTGTGTATGTAATATGAATTAGTTTGTGCATTAGATTCAGTATACTGTACTGTATTACAGAACTGGACTACTTTGTCGGAAGTCACTTTTGTTTTCAGTGACATATATGCTGTGATCTGTGCCCCATTTATCTCATGTATTTGCTTTATTATATATATATATATATATATATATATATATATATATATATATATATATATATATATATATATATATATTATTTATTGAACTGTTATTACTATGTTGTTATATTAGGATTATATTATTATTCTGTATTAATATAATGTTCTCATATTTGCTACAACTCTGCCATTCCTTTGATAAACTCTCTATTGAGGATGGTACAATATTTAGTTTATGCTGTAGCTATTAAACCGCCACCAGTTGAATAACCTGGTAGTCTACATAGCTGGGACGGCTACATAGACAACCAGGCTATTCAGCCGTGAACCCATAAACATATTAACAAGTGTATATCTGTAACCAGATATACAGTTTCTGCTTAATATACCGAGGGGCTGAGCCCCCGGTTTGGAGGTTAGGTTGGATAGGTCAGGTTATGTGCACTGTCGTTTCCATTTTATTGTTTAGTATCCTGCAAATAACATCTCCAGAAATTTTGGTGCAGTTCTATAAATTCTTACGGGTGTTGAGTGTGAGCTCTTTCAAGACCAGACTTGACAAGCACCGGAGCAGGTTCAGATACATTCAGGAGCCAGTGCATGCCCAGTACATGTACTTGCCAACGATGTGTAACAGAGACGTAACCGACAGCCGAAGTGGCTAATGAGCCCGATCAGTGGGTTCACGGCTGAATAGCCTGGCTGTCTATGTAGCCGTCCCGGCTGCGTATACTATTAGGCTATTCAGTCGATAACGGCTTAATAGCCACAGCGTTTAGTTTATCCAAGTTTGTTTTTGTTTTTGTTTTTTTTTATTGCACATATTAAGATTAGACCAAAATGTTTACCCCTAAAGCTTAAGACAATGTAATTAATCATCAATATTCAGCCTTTTATATAACATACAGAAAACTTTAATAGCCGAGCTGTGACTTCAGCTTATAATTTCAGGTATGGGTGCTGGACTTTCTTGTGTAGGATTCTTGAATTTGGCACAGTACTTCGACAAGCACCGCGGTCTGGCCAACACCTTCCTCACTGCAGGTATTGGGCTCGGACACTTCTCCAGTCCTCTTTTCATCCACTACTTGCAAAATGAATATGGCTTCAAGGGTGCCACCATGATTCTTGGTGCCCTCATTCTTCATGGCTTTGTAGGGGCGACTTTGTACCAACCAGTCAAGTGGCACCTGAAGTACCCACAAAAGAAGAAAACTCAGCCAGACCTTGAAGGAGTTTCTTTACTCTTGCCACAAACAGAAAAATCTGAGAACACGAATTTAGAAGGTGCTCGTTCAAATGGTTCTGTTTCTAAAATGGATGAAAACCAGTGGTCAGTGTTGGTGACCCAAGAACACTTACGGAAGGTCAACAGAGATCGCCACATGAGCCAATGCTCTTATACATCCATGGCTTCCAGCAGAGTCTCGTCCATTAGAAAGAGTGACGTGGACCTGGCCAGCCTGACTTCTATTGGCTCCTTAGCATCTTTAGCCAATATAAAGTTTCCAGATACTGATGATCCTGCAAGATCCTCACCAGAGAAGGGAAGTGACAGCTGTATGAGTGAAATCTGGGAGACTATAATACGGGTTCTACGCTCCATTATAAGTGACGTAGGCACTCTGAGGCATCCCTCTTACTTGATTATAGCTTTAGCAACAATGGCCATCATTGGTGGGCAGGCAAACTTCAACATGATAGTGCCTTTTGCCTTACAAACAGAAGGTCACTCACTGCAGACAGCTGCCTGGTATCTATCTGTGGCTGGTATTTGCAACTTCCTGACCAGGCTGTGTTTGTCTCCTCTTTCTGACTTTTCCTGGTTCAACATGAGACTTGTCTACCTGTGTGCCATATTTACCATGGGTACCTCAATCATTGGTAAGTCACTTAATTTTGTTTTGTTTTTCTTTTTCCATAAGAGGTGTCCAGAATAGATATTATAGTGTACATACATAATAAAAGTATATCTTGATTTACGATAAGGTTGCGTTCCTAAAATCACCATCGTACATTTATTTATCGTAAATTAAGTGATATATGTAGCACTTCTTTTGGTTTTCTCATTGCCACCATGGGGGATAACTTTTCAATGTCTTATAATTAGAAACTCGCATTACTTTCATCTGTTGCTCCTTGTTAATAAATATGTTAATGGTTTGTTTTAGTTTTTACCTTCCAGACAGAAGTGGTGGGGCAGTTGGTAGTAATGGGTGTGTGGGGGAGTGCACTAGGATCCTTCCATAGCCTTAGCAACCTGCAGATGACCAGGATTGTTGGGGTCCAAAACCTTACCTCCATGTTTGGTGCGAGGAACTTCGTGATGGCGTTTGGATTTTTCACCATAGGACCTTTGATTGGCAAGTGCTGTCCTTTTCATCCCTTTCCTATATTGTTTTTTTTTTATTAATTTTGAAGCACACTATTGAGGTGTAATGTGCAAATTAACTTACATTTTTCAAACAATCATCATCAACATCAACAACAATTTACAGCCATTTTCCCCGCTTATGCTCTTTTCATTTAGTGAAGATGAAAGACACAAGTGAGACTGGTAAAGTTACTATGGAACTAGAGATTAGGAGGTAACATAAGATAAAATGGAGAAACATTACAAAAGACCTAACCAAAAAAATAGGGATAGTCCTTTAAAAACTTTTGAGATTTTTTCTTCTCAAAGTTCTCTTAAAATACATCGGAAAATGAAGATTCAGGTTCTGGGGTTAGAGAAGTTCTATATATATAATTGTTCTCAAGGTGCTTTTGTATTTAGATATCTTAATTATCCATTTTTTTGTAAACTTTGAAATACTGGTTTATGGTCATCAGAAATTAAATTGGATCCATAAAGGAGTTCAGCACTAATTTCTCATTTAAAAAAAAAACGCGTTTGCCTCCAGACCATGTATATATGTGTAGAAGCTGTTGATAACACACTTGGCGTGCACGGACCAAGAGTCTCAAATTGCACTACATCGTTGATTTCCTCCTACAGGTGTGATCCGTGATGCCAGCGGCAGCTACACCATCACCATGTGGGTCTTGTCAGGTATGATATTCATCAGCTTCATCCTGTGGCTCTTTATGCCAGCTGCCCAAGCCTATGACCAGCACCAGAGAGCCAAGGAGGCTGAGGAGAAGGTTACTCCCGCTGTGTGACCTAACTGAGGCAAATCTCTTCACAATTTTTTAAATTACAGTACTGTAACACGTTTACATATGAAGAGGTTATGAAATGCAAAAACTGACTTAGGTGACAACTTCTGACTGATAATGTTTAGTCAAGCAAATATCATTAAATTACAAAAAAAAAATCACAAATATTTATATTTCTGTTGCAGACAATTCAAACTACAGGTATATATATATATATATATATATATATATATATATATATATATATATATATATATATATATATATATATATATATATATATATATATATACTGTATGAGGCGACGTGGCAAAAGACTACCCCAAATTTTCAGTTTATATTTTAAGTTTTATGCTATACAGTACTTGCCATGTAAGACGGGTATAAAGTATGAACCTACAGTAAGTCATTATGGTGTATGTTGTCACCATGGGTGACCTAAAGGAAAATATTTACTGATACAGAAGAAAATTTATTTTAATTCAAGAACATAGTAAAATGGGTGAAATAATAGCAGTTTTCCCATTTAAGATTGGTGCCAGCACCAAGATGAGTGTACCCGGTAGTCAGAACACGTCATAAACAATAATAACAATACTGAACTAAAACCAAGATAAACTGTTACCAGTTGACTCCAGAATAAAATACTGTACAATATATTGTATATAATCACTAATTATTAAACAAAGAAAACTAGTATATTTTTATTTAATTTACAGTACTCGGAGAACTCTTACCAAGTTAACATTCAGAGTTTGGGCTGAAGTAACAGGTATACCCCTGTAGTGGACGTCTCCCCTACAAACTGCGTAGCTGCACACCACCTGCTACCGTCTTCCCTAGCAACCACGCGTATCCGCATTCCAATGCCCGCGTATCCTAGCAACCGAGCCAAAAGGCTGGCGACTTCTCGGGTTTTCCCAACATGACTCATAGCGGCTGCTGGGTGTATATAAGCTCTGTCTCTCCAGTGAGATTCAGTCTGACCAATCTTCTTGAACAAGCAACACCTCCTCCTCCGCCGCTGCCTGGCTCCCTCGCATCTCCTCGCCTGCCTGGCGGTCCTCGCTCCCGCCAGCGAGCATGGCGACCCACCAGCTGTCCTTCTGAGCTTCCTCACCAACCAACTCTCATTCTGCCCATTTTCCTGAACAAGCAACACCTCCTCCAGCAAGCTCCTAGCTGTTACATTTATTCAACCAGGAGGCCAGCAACAGGCAACATCTTCTCTAACGAAGCTCCTGCACATCTACCTCCTTCAACACGCTACTCACCGAACGTCTTCTACTGAGCAGCTCCCCACCACACAGCATCTCCAGCACCAGACTGTCTTCATATAACTTATATATTATACAAGAAAACCACATTAGTGTTTCCTTCCATCCTGAGTGCTAGACAACATTAATATCTCCATACCCCTACACCCCTCTCATTATCACTCAAAAGTGTTTATACATTACTTTCATTGATAAAAGCTTCACATTCTTAATACGATAGAAACAAATAAAATTTTCATACCAGCTGTTTTATTCAATTAATTCATATTCTGTTAACATAATTGTTGTTCACTTTTGTTTCCTTTCATAAATGTTAAATATTAATAGATTAACAATCTAACTTTAATTTTTAGATATACTATTTGACTTCTCTGCCAGACCAGCCAAGCAGGATGCCAGGTTGATTTTAAAGGAAAATGTCAAATACTGTTCCCTTATATATATATATATATATATATATATATATATATATATATATATATATATATATATATATATATGATAACCACAAGGAAAGAAGAAAACACGAAGTTCCCAAGCGCTTTCGTGTAATTCACATCTTCAGGGGTGAGTACAGACTAGAGAGAGTAATACAAATCAAGGTGTATATATACAGAGGAGGGTGAGACCAGGTCCAGAGAAGCGCGGCGACGTGCGCGCCCAGAGAAGCGCGGCGACGTGCGCGCCCAGAGAAGCGCGGCGACGTGTGCGCCCAGAGAAGCGCGGCGACGTGTGAGCAAAATATTAGCCGCTATACTTCTGCCGGCTTTTTTAACTTAAGAAAATTTTTGACAAAATAAATTAATGTAGATTTATTTACTTTAAATCAAATTATTTAATTGTAAAATGTAAGAAAGTAAATTTCTAACAGCATGTATATACTTTTATCCTATTCACCACTGACTGGCTTGTTAGCCGCTTGGACGATTGGTCACGTCTGTTACGCATGCACAGGCTCCTGAATGTACCTGAACCTGCTCCAGTGTTGGTGAGGCAGGAGCAATGACTGGTGAGGCAGGAACAATGACTGGTGAGGCAGGAACAATGACTGGTGAGGCAGGAACAATGACTGGTGAGGCAGGAGCATTCACTAGTGAGGTAGGAGCATTCACTGGTGAGGTAGGAGCATTCACTGTCGAGGCAGAAACAATGACTGGTGAGGCAGGAGCATTCACTGGTGAGGTAGGAGCATTCACTGTCGAGGCAGGAACAATGACTGGTGAGGCAGGAGCATTCACTGGTGAGGTAGGAGCATTCACTGTCGAGGCAGGAACAATGACTGGTGAGCACGGTTGATGGCCCTGGGGTTGGAACAGGCAAAATTGCAAAAAGTCAGTATAAGGTAGGTCACTGCTGCCGTTTGATTTTTACACAGCCAAAGGAGATTGAGCAATGGTATCAATGAGAATGCATACAACTGATATAAATCAATAAATATTCTCACCTATCTGCACATTCTATAAGGAATTATTTCTTCATCTACTGGGTGACTGCGGAAGGTCTCGTAAAAATTACCAGCCACTGCTAACTCGGCCCTCATCAATGATGCTGTTAAGGCAATTTCTTCTGAAGCTTTTAATATTTTTTTGTCGTGGACCACCACCTGTCTTTTTAAGCTTTCGGTCTTCTATATCTCTGTTTTTATAGTTCTGAAAGAAACAAGAAATTAATGCTGTATAACAATAGCAGCAGCATTGGCTTTTATAATGCTTTCATCACCAATGCCTATGGCCAAAGGGGATGCAGAACAGACTAATATCATTTACTGTACATATATGCATCACTAAAGAAATGTATGACGGGTTTTGTAGGATTTTACAATACAGTAATATTCAAAGAGTGTATATAGTTTAAAAAATGTAAATTTGCCATAAAAAAGGAGTACGAAAACATGGTTATACTTTACGATGCTGTTGTGCACTTACATCAGTAGAACGAAAACATAGAAAAAAACATTTTGAAGTAGGCCTAAAATACTGTAGGCTAGCCACAAGGCTACAGTCATACCTGCAAAAAAAAATATATATATATATATATATATATATATATATATATATATATATATATATATATATATATATATATATATATATAGAGAGAGAGAGAGAGAGAGAGAGAGAGAGAGACTGATATGCTTCTGACAAGTCTTTTGAGGTGACCCTTCAGAAACTGAACATAAACCTTTTTAAAACTTATCTTGCAGAATATTTGAGCTAGCCAAGTGTGTGGGGGCACCAGCCCCAAACTTGGTGCACGTCATGGTCGTAAAAAGCTGCACAGCTTGGTTCATATACAATTGCCACCCCCCCCCATTGCCAGTGAATAACTGGCACAAAACATGGAAATAACCTAGCCTAGCCTCACCTAACCTCACCTACCCTAACTTTAACTTAACCTACCTAACCAAATATTAAATATGACTGATCTACAATTTTTTTTCACTTAACCATAAATTAGGAGTTGTCATTTTGTTTATATAATTATTACTACAAATAAAGCACTAATTCATAGTGTTCCATGTCCTACCCTCCATACCAGTACCTTCCTAATAAATTCACATTTTTATCAGATAACTCTTAGGATAAAAATCAATCGATAGGCATATAGGCATATTGTATATAATTTATTTAAGTAGACATAAAAACACTTATTTTTATATATAACTCAAAGATATGAAGGAAGGGAAAATGGGGAGGCGAGATGGGAGCTTTTTGGGCCGCTCCACCCACCCAGCTGCAAACAAGCTGAGGTGGCGACGTGTGCGCCCACAGAAGAGCGGCGACGTGTGCGCCCAGAGACGCGCGGCGACGTGTGCGCCCAGAGAAGCGCGGCGACATGTGCACTCACGTGGTAATGCGCGGGGGAAGGCCCTTTTCCCAGTGGGGGGAAAGGGTCTCAACCATGCAAACGCCACACGTGCACTACCAGAGGCAGCCAGTTGAGGATCTGCCCAAGACGCACCAGGCGCCCGTTACCTTCATCTCGCCTTCGGGCTCAGTGACCCCATCGACTCCTACACATGCTAGACTCCGTGGTTGTTGTCCCAGGACGGGTCGGGTAGATCAACGACCCTCTGAGATATGAAACCCTCTGCGAGATGAAACCCCCACCGTCGAGGTGGCACTCTACTCGACGACCGTCGCAGGACAGTCAAGACACCAGCAGTTGCCCCTCTCGCAGTTCAGCCAGGACACCGGAGGTAGCTCGCCACGCCACCCTCCCCCCCCCCTCCAAGATGAGCTCAGAGTCATTGACGGTGTACCAATCCGACCGAGCCTTTGACGTCCCCAGCTACGGGTCGCGGTGACCTTATTACGGATTTGGTTCAGTCTACGTTATTACGTTTAATTAACTTAGGCTGGTTAAGTTAGGTTAGTAAAGTTAGTTGAAACCCACCCACAACAACTTGCTTTACTTGCTGTATTTACTACCACTACTAATTTTCTCTAATAACCAATAGGCATGTAGTCCTGTATATTTATATTGTCACTACAACTAATATTAATTTTACTCGAAGACCAATCTGTCCACTAAGTACTCACGAGCCCTCCTTCACACACAGTCCTCCAGAGCCCTCCATCACACAGTCAGCCAGGCCCCCCCACACACCCTCCACTGCTGAGTGTAGAAGCACGGTGTTGAGTAGTTTATGGGATGACCATAATAGCCAAGATATATATAAGTAACTTAACTGATGAGGCTGAAGTAACATGCTGGGTGTTAAATGTTGCTCAAGGTTCTGTCACTTCTCCATTGGCCTTCACATACATCAGCTGTCACCTGCAACATGTTTAAAGTTGGCATTTATGTAGAATGAATGTTAAACATACAATATCCATCTACCACTAAACAACATGTAGTTAAACTGTCGTCAAATGTACATAATTTTTCAAAAATTAATTATTTACAAAAGTCAAATTTAACTTCTTTCAAAATTAACTTATGAATTCATGATCAGTTAACGTAAGTGACAAAAAAATACTGAATTTATGTCTTGGAATAGTTTATCTTAGGTTAGGTTATGGTTATTAAAGTTAGTTGAAACCCACCCACAACAACTTGTTTAACTTACTATGTTTACTACTGCTACTAATTTTCACTAATAATCAATAGGCATACAGTTCTGTATATTTCTACTGTCACTACAACTAATATTAATTTTACTCTAATATCAGTCTGTCTACAGATCGTCCTCCATAGCCCTCCAACACAGTCCTCCAAGAGTGTCCGCCAGGCCCCACACACTGATCACTAGGTCTACACACAGACCTATTAGGCCTCAAACAGTCAGCAAGGCACCCCCCACACACCCTCCACTGCCCAGTGTAGGAGCAGTGTCGAGTGGTTTATTGGATAAAGATACTAGCTAAGATATACTGTACAAGTAACTTAACTGATGAGGCTGAAGTAACATGCTGGTAGTTAAATCTTGCTCGAGGTTCTGTCACTTCTCCATTGGCCTTCACGTACATCAGCTGTTACCTGCAACTTGTGTAAAGTTGTAATTTACGTACAATGAAAATTAAACTTGCAACTAGATCACATGTACTTAAACTGTCCCCAACTGTTTACATAAATCATTACCTCCACATTAGTTTACCAATACAGTACGACTACACTATACTATACTGTACTGTACTGTACTACACTGCTTCATGCACTATACACAAGGTTTATTACAGCTGACTAGACCTTCCCTCCCTCATGCCCCCTTAAGTGTCAACACCCCACACCCTCTCGCAAAACGTTAAATGACCCCACCACAAGCCCAACCCACCTACACTCTCAAAACGTTATACGACCCCACAACAAGCCACACCCAGCTACACCCTCACAAAACATTAAACGACACCACAGGAAGCAACATCCACCCACAACCCCCCACCAAACATTAAATGATACCATAGCAAGCTACGCACACCCACACCTTCACACAAAACGTTAAAATTGACCTGAAGGAACACCGTTGTGTATTGTGAGAAGCTTCACTCGTGGTCTTGTCCCCACATACTGCTCCACACTTCACTTGTGTCCTCATACTGCACCACACTGACCACATACTGCACCACACCAATAACAGAGGGTTTTGTACTGTAGTTGAATCTGCAGTCATTCCTTGATCTGAAAAAGAAAGATTCGGCAACACATTGTAATACGTAGATTGGCTTAGGTTAAATTGATCTTCAGTTGAAATAAACTGGGGGATGAATCTTCAGGCGAGCCAAACATTTTAACATTTTCCAGAGGTTAATGAGATGGTTACGGCCTTATTTACCAATACATTTTAAAGGTGTCTTTATATACATCTTAACATTTATTTTAGGAACCCGGTATTTTTTTTTACAAGCAGACAACCAACGAACCTCCAGGTTAGGCTATGTTACGTTGTTAGGCTACGTTACGTTAGTTTAGTTTTGGTGCTTTTTGGTTGTTGACCAATGTGTTTTTCCGATGGTAAAATCCATGGTTGTCCACTTTTAAAAATTTAATATACACTGTACAAATATTCTGAAACCCCTCAACCTCGCCCTCCGCCGGCTCCCTTGCCTCGCCCGGCTCCCTACCTCAACTCGCCTCGCCTCGCTTCCTGTCTGGTTTCTTGCCTGCCTCGCCTAGCATGCCTCTCTTCGCCCGGCTAAAACCCGTAATAAATTCGGTTTCAACTCCCAGAAATCCTAGTTAAAGAGGAAGCAAAGAACTAGCCAGTGAAAAATATTGTATCGTAATTCCACAAAACATAGTTATATTTTGGTGATGAACGTTAGAAGAAATGTGTAGCTATTGAGTTATGACCACCCGGCTCCGCCAAAAGTGGGCTGGGCTTCGAAGCAAGAGGGAAAATGTGAAATAAAAAAAAATACAATAATTTCACCCAATCTCGTCATTGCACTCACTTACTGGTTAATTATAACGCAAATACTGATGTGCGGTTTACGCTTGTTACTCGCCACCGGTTTATAGTTTCGGCTCAGTTGTTATGGCTCATTTGGCGGTATATTTGCCTAAAAGTTTTAAAACGTTAATAAATTACTGGTTAGACGTTAGAGAAACACTTAATATAATACTAACCCTTATTAATGTATTTGTTTAAGCTGCAAAGTAGGTACCATAGGCCTTACGGCCCAGTGAAACTTGGGGATACGTCTCTAGAAGCCAAGTGAACTGCAACAACCGGCTGGCAAGTTTGTTACTTAAATCAGCATTTATTACGCCATAATTAAGTATATATAAACACTAACCAAAAGAATAACCATTTCTCTTGGCCATATTGACTGTAGACAGTCGGGAAAAAATTACACGTATATAATGGAGACTAGAGGTGCGGGGTGTGGGGCTTCGCACCTCCCTGTCAGCTGCAGCTAGTGAGTGTGAAGAATGGGCGGAAAACGAGTTCGTCGAGACTTTATATATGAAGGTTGAGAGTGACGTCACGAAGCTTCATTGAAGCATTTGAAGCTTCGAACATGATTATACGTTCAAATACTATATATGATACAGTACTGTACTTTATATGATACAATACTGTACTTTATATGATACAGTACAGTACTGTACTTTATGTGATACAGTACTGTACTTTACTGTATATGACAGTATATGATAGAGAATTGCAATAATGTTTTTTTCTTGTCCTGAACAGATCATATTTTTTCTCCAGATATACAGTACTAGGAAATTACATAATAACACAATTATAGGAGCTGTATCCAGATTTTTTTTAAATCACGCTGTCAAATGAAGGTCTCAGTGGTAAGTAACCCGTTAAAAGTAGAAGTAAAATTACCTTCAGACTACATTTTGGGTTACATTTATATCACAATACAAATTCTTTATAACTACATCATAAATGCATAAGAGTCGCACTTTGTTAATATTATTCTAAACTTATCCCATTCTACCACTTTCATACTTTATTATCCATATTCAGTACAGTATAATGTTTATGTTACTTCTTAAGGGAAGGTTTATTATTTTTTGATGTCTTCAGTTTTGCACAAATAAATTTAAAA